TATCTACTTTCCTATCTTGAAGGTGAACCTCAGAGGTTAATCAGTGGATTCAAAATTACTGATGCTGATTACATTTTGGCGTACAATAAATTGAAAAAACGTTACCAAAATAAACGTTTCCTGGCAACGAATGCCATGAATTCCATAATGGCTGTCACCTGTAAGGGCAAGTCTCCTAAAGAACTAAGAAATTTCTCAATACTTTTTTCGAGTCGTTGGAAACGTTGAAATCGTTAACTTTCGCTGTGAATTCGTGGTGTTTCGTGCTGTTCCATTCATTATTAGAGAAAACTCCAATGGAAATTTGTACTAGTTTTGAAATACAAAATAGTTCAGAATAAATTCCTACATATGAACAACTTTATGAATTCCTGGAAAACAGGTGCAAGGCACTCGAATCAGGGCAACATTTATCTGCCCCTAAGATAAATAAAGTTCCCTTTTCCAATTCGAAATTTTCGTATATTTCTAAGAGTGTTAATATATCAAAAACTTCCGCATTCTCTTTACGAACGAACATTTCTAAAATACAGTGCTATTTGTGTGAAGAATCACATGTCCTATCAAAATGTCCCAAATTTCTGGAAAAATCAATAGTTGAAAGAAACAATTTTGTTGAAAATAACAAACTTTGTTCAAAATTGTCTGTATCATGGGCACGCAACAAATGCTTGTTCTTCGCGATTTCGATGTAGAGTAAATAGTTGCAATGGAAGGCATCACAGTTCGTTACACATATTTAAAAATTCCGATATTGCATTACCATCAAGTTCAACCCAAGAAACAACGGCATGTTTGGCTTTACAAAATAACATACCTCAGGTTACGAGCCTATTAGCTACCGCGGTGGTCGATATTTACGATAATCAGGGTTCTTCTCACCCTGTTCGTATTATGATTGATTCTGGAAGTACCGATTGCTTTATCAGCGAAAAATGTTTGCGTAGGCAAAATCTCGTCCGACGTCCATATTCTACAGCAATTTACGAATTGAATCAAATGGTATCCTTTTCTTCAAAGGGCATTACTACTTGCGAAATAAAAGCACAAAATTATTCTGGGCCTACCTTCTCTTTTGACGCAATAGTAGTTCCAAACTTGTCTTCAAATTTACCATTTTGCGATATTCCAAAAGGGCAATGGGATCACTCAAAGAGTTTAAAGTTGGCTGATGAAGAATATTTCATTTTTAGAGCTATAGATCTACTAGTAGGGGTAGAAATATTCGGAAAAATTATTCGCGAAGGTCGTGTATCTGGAAAAAAGGGCGAACCAACAGTTATCGAGACCGCTTTTGGTTGGGTCTTGTTAGGAAAAATAGATATTCCTGATTTTTCTAAATTTCCGAAAATGAGTTCTAGTAATTTTCTTTCAACCCCAGAAATACCACTGGAGGTTATTGTTCCTAAATTTTGAGAAATCGAAAAAATTCCGGATAAAATATTTTCTGCTCCTGAGGAAATAAGGGCCGAAGAGATATTCAAGAAAACAGTTTCTAGAGACTCCACCGGTCGGTTTACAGTTTCCTTGCCGTTCAGAAATGGTGAACCAAATCTAGGTGATACGTACACTCAGGCGTTTCGCCGATTTTCTATGTTAGAACGTAGACTTTCAAAAAATCAAGAACTTTATGCTGCTTATCGAGAATTCATGCAGGAATATCTCGACAGTGGTCACATGACTTTGGTCCCCCCGATGCTTCCAAACCCCCGTTATCTTGTTATCTACCACATCACTGTGTGCTCAAGCCGGACAGCATCAGTACAAAACTCTGAGTCGTGTGGGACGGAAGTGCTAAAGGGCAAAAAGGCATCAGTTTGAATTCAACCTTGCTTCCGGGACCCAAGCTTCAAAAGGACATTCTTTCCCTCTTACTTATATTTCGTTTGCACCCTGTAGTCTTCATTACTGATATAGTAGGCATGTTCCGTCAGATTTTGGTTACCCCTGAACACAGACATTTTCAGAAAATTTTGTGGAGGTTTTCTCCTAATGTACTTTTGTCCGAATGGACATTGAATACTGGTACTTTTGGACTTAGTTGCAGCCCTTTTCTCGCAATGAGAGTTTTAAATGAACTGGCTGAGTTAGAAAAAAAAACGTTTTCCTTTAGCGAGTAAAATGATTATTCCACAGACTTTTGTGGACAATATTTTAGGTACCAGTCGTTCCGTGGCTGGAGCCCTTACCCTTCAAAAACAACTGATCGATTTGCTGAAACTTGGTGGATTTGAGTTGAGAAAATGGGCAAGTAATTGCCCAGAATTGTTGGCTCAAGTCCCAAGTTCCGATAGACAAATGTCCTTGTCGTTCGATAAGGAAGAACCTCATTTTCTTAAAGTTCTAGGGCTACAATGGCAGCCCTATCCTCATTGCTTTTCATATCAATGCAGTCCAAGTAATAACAATCGATTTACAAAACGATCTGTTCTTTCTCATCTCAGCAAATTTTTCGATCCACTTGGACTCCTTTGTCCAGTTATACTGTCTGCAAAGATTTGGAAGGCTCAAATTGATTGGGATACCCCTTTATCCCTCCAATTTCAGATTTGTGGATGCAACTAGAGTCCGAATTCTCCAAACTGTCTGAAATTTCGCTACCTCGTCGTGTGCTTATAGATAAGTACACCAGGTGCGAATTACACGGTTTCAGCGATAGCAGTGAGATAGGTTACGGTGCAGTAATTTTCCTCAGAGTCGAAACACTCAACTCGGTTTCCGTTTTCCTACTCTGCGCGAAAAGCAGAGTTGCACCTTTAAAAACCATTTCAATACCAAAATTAGAACTCACTGCGGCTTATTTGCTGTCCGATTTGATTTCCTTCGTGAAAGATACTTATTCTAGAGACCTTATTTTCGATGAAGTCTGCGCTTGGACTGACTCTCAGGTCGTTTTGGCTTGGTTGAGGGGGTCTCCTTGCCAATGGAAGACATTTGTGGCCAATAGGGTTAGCCATATTCAAGATATTGTCCCTTATTCTTCTTGGCACTATATTCCTTCCAGTTTGAATCCCGCAGACGCAGCTTCCCGAGGTCTTACCCCCACCAGTTTTTCAGCTCATGATTTGTGGTGGAAAGGGCCTGCCTTTCTTTCTCAGACAAGAGAAGACTGGTTAGATATGCCATGTTTGCGCGAACTTGATGAAACGGAGTCAAAATTAATATCTAGTGAAGAAAAACGAGTGGTTTTCAATGTAATTGTAGAAACTCACATATTTGATAATTTACTTAATAAATACTCTAAATTACTTACTATTCAGAGAATTATTTCTTACTGCATCCGAGTTTTTACGAACTTCCAATCACGGCATATTCCAGATGAATGCTATTTCGATTATACTACGGTAGATGAGCTTCAAAGAGCTCTATTGTGTCTTATTAAACATGTTCAAGCCACAGTGTTTTCCGAAATATTGATAACAATCCAGCAAAATGAATTGCTTCCAAAGCCATTTCGTAAACTATCGATTTTTCTTGATCCCGATGGGTTCCTCAGGGCGGGCGGACGCCTAAGAAACGCATCAGACTTGCCATTTTCTGTAAAACATCCCTTGCTACTACCAAGTTCACACAGACTAACCATACTCATAATAGAACACTTTCATGCTTAATACTAACATCCAGGTTTCAAAACGCTGCTTAATTCACTAATGCAGCAGTTCTGGATTCTTTCGGCCAGAAAGGCCATTCAAAAAACGCTCTCTGGTTGCGTAAAATGCTTCAGAGCGCGCCCCAAGTCATATACGCCTCCAGTTATGGCAGACTTACCGAGTTACAGGATTTTCCAGATAGCTGCACTCTCTCACGTGGCTATAGATTTTTGCGGCCCCTTTTTGATAACGCCCTTGAGAGGTAGAGGTGTTTCAAAAAGATTCGAATCTTACGTATGTGTATTTGTATGTACCTCTACAACTGCCATCCATTTAGAGCTTGTGCTCGACCTCTCAACAGAGAGTTTCATAGCGTGCTTTAGGCGTTCTATATCAAGACGTGGTACAGTGGTCTTTTGTCAGAGTGACAACGGCACAAACTTCGTTGGGGCTCATAATCAGCTGCTTGAGCTGGCAAAACAAACTTCCGAGAAACTGTCACTTAAGTGGGAATTTTCACCTCCTACAGGGCCTCACTTTAATGGACTCGCCGAAGCAAGCGTAAAGGGTTTTAAAACACACCTCGTTCGAGTGGTTGGCGACCAAATATTCTCTTACGATGAGATGCACACATTGATATGTGAGATAGAAGCTGTCTTAAACAGTCGTCCTCTCTACTCTCAGTCCGGTGATCCCAATGATATAATCCCACTTACTCCTTCACATTTCGTGACGTTGAAACCCCTAGTGCCTGTTATTCCAGAACCTGATATTTCTAGTATCAAACTAAATCGACTTGATCGTTGGCAGTTAATACAAAAATTATTTACGGATTCTTGGAGAAGATACTCCACAGAATATCTTAACACATTACAACAACGTACGAAATGGATTGATTCAGTCGTTGAGGTGAAACTGAATGATTTGGTCCTTATCAAAAGTGAAACCACCTCTTCGTTAAGGTGGCCACTTTTTTCCCGGAGAGGACGGTCAAGTGAGAACCGTCACCGTAAAGACTGCGAGCGGATTGTTTCGTCGTCCAATTGTAAAGCTGTGTCCTCTATCTACCCTCTACCACCCTTAGCATTTATAAGGCATTTTGTGTGTGCGACAACCTAGGATAAATTATTAATCGAAGGAGTAAATCATATTCAATTCTGAAAAGTATCAAGGTCAACGTGTAAAATATAACATACAGTCCATTTTTCTTTTCCATTTTCGTATATGCGCTGACAACAGATAAAAACCCAAACTTGGGTATTTGAAATTCTTATTCACTTCATTGGTATAGTTGAAGCTGTAGGTAGGGGCAAAATATAAATAGACACCCTATACATACCGTTTTATATTATCATGAGACTTGTTATTCTATGACTCGAATTAGAATATTCGCTACGTGTTGTTACTTACCAGAATGACGCACAACAACAATCAGGCAGGTGGTAACGTCGTCTGCTCCAAGAATACTAACGTTCTCTGAAAATACAAAGAAAATTTCAATACATTTTGAATGATGGAAGTAGAACGATGGTATATTAATTAGAGTTTCGACGGATTAATTGAGCATTTAACATTCAGTTGTGGTTGGTAATGCACACATTATTGTAGACTTGTAAGTATGTACATGTGTTACTTAATGATAAACCTCAGAGTTATCCTCAGAAGAAAGTTTTCCAAAGTGAGATTACATATACACAATCATGAAGGGATTTACCTATCCCACCAATATACCTAGGTAACCCAAACCTCTCCGTGAGATCTCAGAGAGATCAACATCAAGATCATATTCGAACTCCTATCGTGAGGTAATAAAGATCGCTATGTGCTGTGACTGAGCGAATTTCTTCTTGGAGTCCCATATAGAAATCTTTCAAACCTTACCTTTCAGTTATCGACTCCATTTCCACAACAAATTCCCGAAGTTATTACGAAATTAACCTGAATCATGAATTATTACTGCGAGTTCGTTGAGCTTGCTGGAATATAACCTGAACAAGAAATTCTTGTTGCGAGTTTCTGAAGCTATCACTTATGTAACGTAAACGATATAATCTCACTGCGAGTTCGTACAGTTAACCCGAACGTAATCTGAATCAGAAATTCTCATTGTGAGTTCTTCAAGTCATCCCGAGGGTATCACACACATGAAATTATTGGTGCGAGTTCCTGAAGATATCCCGAACGTTAATAATAAGTGATAGCAAAATATCAACATACGACATGGTTCTAAAATCTCAAAAAATACTCCCACCATCATAACAGTTACGCACATCAGAATTCTGAATCTTGAACCACCCTGCATTTTAGTTAAGTTGAAGTTAAGATAAGGACATGTGAGCCGTTTTGACCGACAATAATAGTCTCGACACAAAAAATTCTGAAATCGTAATTTTTTGATTCTGATCACCATATATCTCTGTAGTCATTCCCGCTAGACCCCGAGTAAGATGCATCGATGGAATTGGCCCTCCAGGGAGAATCTGAAAATGCGATAATATACATCATCTGCCGATATCTTGGAATTCAAACACCTTATATACCTATTTAAAAACAATTTGAGGTGATAGTTCTCATGAAACTATATAACTGTTTTATTCAATTTTTTTTTGTAACATTGTCAATCTTAAAGAAGATAATGATTCAACAATAGAATACAGGATGAAGAACCGTGAATCAAACGGTTTGAGGAGAATGATTTTATGAACATTGCAGAAACATTTCAGTCATAACTTTTCATTCCAGATTTGATTCTGAAGATGAATAATCTGTTTTGATTCCTGACCTTGCATAGTTGATCAATCACCATAACATACCTATCTACTATGTGCTTCCATTTCATAAGCGCTAAGGCCCGTGAGCTTCAACTCACAGAGGTCCCTGGCTGGAACAAAATGATAAATTCTACTCAGCTTGTTTCTAAACAGCTGGCGCTAGTAAAACTATGCCGACAAACGAGTGCTGGTAGCCTATGAATACCACAAGAATTCTTGGTAACTTAGATAAAGACAAGGATATCTCGAGGAACTTGCGAAATGATACTCATGAGAATGTGTTGAACAGTTCGTGAAGCGAACTCTCAGAGACCTCGACAAGGGCATTTTTCGTGAATCCCTAGGTTCACTCGTAGTTGCGAGTAAATTGACGCAAATCTCCCGAATTTCTCATCTCAACTCTATGTGTAGGAATATCGTGAATAACTCCTAGTTGCGAACACATACAGAACTCGTCAGTAGTAATTGATGCGAATCTCCTGAAGTACTCGCCACAAGGCTATGTGTGCGGATATCTCGAATGATTCGGTTCTGCGAAAACTTAGAGATCGCACCAGTGGCAATTGATGCGAATCTCTCAAAGTTCTCGGAACATGGTTCTGTATGAGAATTTCTCAAAGAACTCGCCTGAAGGTATTGTATGTGAATTTCTTCGTGGGATATCGCCTAGATCTCGTTGAGAATATCCCGGCGGCGGACATTTTGAGCAAGAATAGTGCTCTCGGCAACCGCTCAAAGAAGTAATGAAAGGCGTCACAATTTCCTGGAAGGAGGTTGCCGACATATCTCTAAGACCTCTCTGTGTCGGCTGGGTAATTCATTCCATCATCTGTTACATTTCATATAGCAGTATTTCGTTAGGCAGGCATACTGCAAAGTTATCATATGTTCATGGATATATTGACATAACAACGGAGTTGTTGAATGATTTCAGCATGAAAAATATTCAATCCTGGGTGATTGTTCAAGGTAGCTCACCCCTTTAACTTCTTTCATTATCATTATATTATAGTTGAATCAAGATTTTTTTTCAAATTCACTTGCTTTGCGGTACTTTCGGTTTCACCGAAAATTAATCCAACTTTTTTGAATGGGACATCCTAATCATTTCCACTGATTCTGATCGAGGGGAATTGAGAAGATCCTTTTCCTCTTCGAATAATATAAATATAGCTTGGAGAACAATTTCAACACATAAATCTTTTCACATAGAAGTGGAAGATGGAGTTCTATTGCTATCCAACACGAATGCAATTTATAGTATTCCTTGTCAGAATTGTAATAATCAGTACATAGCCCACACTTTCAGAGCATTATCCAACAGAATTATATAACACATACGTGACTGCAGATTGCGTTCCGAATGATGTGCTCTGCCTGAACATGTTAACAAATTTGATCATCGCATGAATTTTGATTTTGTTAGAATTCTAGAACAAGGAAAACATTCAATGAGGAGAACGTTCTTCGACATGGCCTGCATATCACAAAACGATAATAGCATTAATAAAAGAAACATAAATCACTTGAGTACATGAGATATATTTTTGTTCATTGTCATTCTAAATAAGACACAGGCAAATCAAGTTCAATAGGAAGGTTGGTACATATGTGTCGATTGGTATCACTGTTTTCGGTTTTTGACATAACACCTACCTGTCTTCACAAACAATGTCAAAAGTCATTTACCTTTTCATTCCCAAGAAGAAGTCATATATTGGCTCCGTTTGTGATTAATTCTCTAACGAATTTCTTCCAACCATGAGATTGACGATATCATTATCCAGTAGATTTTCCAGTGAAAGTATTCAACATGTTATTATGTGTTAACGTCAACCAATATTTCATCGACAACACTCTGATGATTCATTGTTATGTTACCAGTGTACAAAGGGGTATTATACATGAACATCATGTCAGCCATCCTCGACAAAGATGTGAGTACATAATCTTCGCATATCAGAATGCATGATACCCATGATTTTTTTTATGTTGTGGTTCCCACGAAGAAGGATATCCTGTTATGTTCAGAGAACATCGTGAGAGCCAAGAAAAATGAGGTAGGAATTGGTGTTCTTCTTGAATTTCTGGAGGTTATATGCTTAGGGGAACCCCTCCCTTGGCAATGTGTTCCAGAGCCTCGCTGTTCGTTGAATGAACGAGTATGTGGAAAGATATGTTCTGCAGGTTTCAAAGTGACCACGAACGAGGGCGAAGCCTTAACTCGACGGGTTAATCTCGCTGGGACTGCCAAGGAAGGTACAATTGTTGATATTCCAGAAGAGCATCGTCCATGGAAATATCTATGGAAAAATGCCAGATCTTCGACATTTCTACAGTGTTCCAGAGAAGTGAGTGAGTTTGTGAGCAATACATCACCCACGAGACAAATTGCCTTTTTTGGACAGAATCCAACAGTTTCAGGGTATGTTTGGTTGCTGCACTCCAAATATGAAAACCGTATTCTAAGACAGGTCGGATCTGTGCCTCATCAATAGCAGCTGACTGGAAGTGAAATAGCTCCTGGCCCAAAACAGAAAACCAAGTTTTTGGTATGCACTTTCAGCGATTGATCTCACGTGATTTCCCTAAGAAAGGTTATTGCTGATAGTAAAGGTATGGTTACTCCTCACATGCTTATGTTTGGTACAGTGAGATCGGCTTTTCTAGAGAAGAGGAATGCCTGTGTTTTGTTTGAATTGAAATCTACCAAGTTATTGGGTCCCCATTCGAGAATTTGTTGCTAAGTCCATATTAATGTTGTCAACATTTCTCCTCCGTTCGCTTCTGATTTGCCTGGCTGGTTTTGGTGCCCTGGAAGAGAAGGCGGTATGCAGAGTACTATCATTCGCGAAGCTGTGTACTGGACAGGAAGTTGCTTCTAACAAATCGTTGATATGGAGTAAAAATAGTGTTGGTGCTAGAACTGATCCTTGCGGAACACCAGCATTGATGTAAAGAGAGTCAGATGAAACTCCGTCGACCACTACATAAAGAGACCTGTTTGAGAGAAAACTAGCTAGCAGAGAACATATTTGGGGAGGCAAGCCATAAGATGGAAGCTTGGCGAGGGGTCCGTGGTGCCAGACTCGATCGAATGCTTTGAAGATATTGAGTGCCACGGCTAAGGTTTCCCCACATTTTTCAATAGATTACTGCCATTTATGTGAGTCATAGGCGAGCAGGTCACCAGTTGATCTCTGATGACGGAAACCATATTGCATTTCGTTGATTATACCTGAATGTTCCAGGTATATCATGAGCTCGATGTTGATAGCTTTCTCCATGATCTTTGAAATGAAAGATAGCAGTGCGAACGGTCTGTAGTTGCCAGGTAGGGTCTTTCGCCTTTTTCAGGAACTGGTTGTACTCTCACAATTTTCGAGTTGGACAGGAATATCCCCAATTTGTAAGACTTGTTGGACAACTTGCAGAGAACAGGTGTAAGTTTGGGAGCATATTTCTTGGGAACAATGAGTGGGATTCCTTTGGAGCCACAAGTTTTGTTAGTGATGAGACCCAATGAAATCTTCCTCATAGTACGTTGGCGAAAGGTGATCTCGGGCATATGACTGTCCATTGGCGTTATGTCTGTTGGTTGTTTTCCTGATGAATCCAGAGTGGAATCTCCAGCGAATAAATGTTGGCTTTCTCCTGGGCAGTTGTGGCTAGTGTTCCATCTTCCTTGGTTAGAAGAGGAAACGA